AATAAAATATGACAAGAACTCAGAGTTAAACTGTGTCAGAACAAAATTATCTTGATAATGTCACATAACTTTGACAAAAATGTATGTAATGGATTACAATCAACCAAAAATTCAGACAACTGTTAGTATGACAATATTTACACAACTATCAATACTTTGTTGAACAATTACCAAGCAATGCTTAATTTTGTTCAGTCTGTGGTGTAAAAAGGTTGCATTAGCAATTAAAGAAAAAAGAAAAAAACACTTAAGCAAAACATGGTCAGGTCAAAGTGTCTGAATAATTTTCGGTGGATTAATTCTTGTTAAAACTACAAAGTAATTCAGTCAAGAGCAGCGAGTGATTTTCTTTCTTTCATTTTCTAGGATTAACATTAAGGACACCGACAGCAGCTAGTAAATTAGGCGCGGTCACTTTACGAGACAATGCATCCATTATAATGATACATATCCGATTTCTTTCTCCACTGTTTACTTTCACTTAAGACATAACCGAAAGTTTTTTCGAGGATACTCTCCAAGACGGGTATTTTGACATCATTTTGTATGTATTTGTTGGTACAAGAGCAAGAAGAGGCAAATTCGGTGTTCAAGCGCTTTGAGACGCGTCTCTCTGCGTGCGCCCTGTGCACACAGAACAGCGCGCGCGGGTGCTGTATTGGGCTCTTTCACATCTTTTTCTGTGTGCATGTTTAAACTGCGATTTGTATTTGTTCGTTCAGGTGCAGGAGGACACGAAGGAGGGCTCGGTTCGGTGTTGCTGTCCTTGAGACGCGACTCTCTGCGTGTGCAACGAACACGGCGCGCGAGTACTCAGTTGAGTTTTTCCGCATCTTGTGTTTGAATGCTTTAAACTCTTTTGAATGTTTAAATTGGCAAGGCTTAAAAACACATGCAAATGATAAGCTTTCGTGATGCAACCCGTCAACTGAGCGTCTTTTTAGGCTGGCCGCAGCCAGTCGGCTGAGATCGCCGTGGGGCCCCCCCTCAGCCATGGGCCCCTATAATCGTCACCACCTTTCACCCCACTAGCGACGGCCCTGGGTAGAATTCTGGGGGAAAGCATACTTTATTCATGTGTTTTGAGAAGTGAACAGAAGTAATTTAAGCATGGAAAATAATAACTATAAACAGTATATAGTTTATAATTAGCATACAATATGCTTGTCAATGGGGTCTAAAACCGTGGTTCTCAGCGAGGAGACCAGTGACCACTAGGGGGCCTTGGCAAACTTTCAAGGCGGACCTAATAAATTGTAAAATTATGTAAAGTTAGTTATATTAACATAATCTTGATTAAAATTATGAAAGAAAACACTATAAATAAAGATGTGTAACATTAAACTGACTTATGCATTATTTTTTATTTATTTTTATTACAACAGAAGTATCAGAGGTACATATCAACCTAGATAGAACAGCCTTCAAATATCGTTTTGGGCAAAAGGGGCTCTTGGAGTCATTAAACCTTATAAACGCGAATCATTTAAATAATTTGAAGACATATTAGACCCCTATGGACGTTTGACGAGGCCCCCTGGTGGGGAATCACTGTTTTCGACCTTACTGACAAACATAAGCTGTTCTATGTCAATTATAAACATAATTACTATACTACACTCTAAAAAAATGCTGGGTTAAATACAACCCAGTGCTGGGTAAAATAGGGACAAACCCAGCAATTGGGTTGTTTTGACTCAGCAGTTGGGTTACTACCCAGAAGGTTGGGTTAAACATTTAACCCAACCGCTGGGTCAAAACAACCCAATTGCTGGGTTTGTCCCTATTTTACCCAGCACTGGGTTGTATTTAACCCAGCATTTTTTAGAGTGTACTATACTCGTAGTGCCATACTGTTCACTTTTATTATTTGCAATGCTCATACTACATCTGTTCATTTCTCATGAATAATTTAAGATTTTCCCCAGATTTCTGCCATTTCATCAGAATCTCAGAAACTCAAAATACTGCTATAGAGGATTAAGAGGTCTTACATCTGTGAAAATCACATCAACTTCCTATATGGTCCAGAAATAACCTGAAAATAAAGGGAATTTTAAAATGGCACTCTCTCACAGATTCTTGCTCCCATAAAAACATGAAAATATGCCTCAAAGTCAAACCTTAAATGTTCTGCATGCCCACTATAATTAACTAGGTACTTCCTAAAAACATGACAGCTGAGACTTCAATCCTTCCCATTATAAACTGACCATAAAAGTGGAACTGTGAGCAATCTCGACCATTACATTTGGACTACATTTGAACTGCTTCGTCTAAGAGAAAAGGATGCTGTGGTTTAACCAAGTCAAATAAAAATTCTATACAAAATAAAACACTGAGTGGTTTAGTACATAGAGGTGTTCACTCAAAAAAAAAAAATAAATAAAGTAGGAAAATAAAAAATGCATGGTCGAGCAACCATCTTTACAATTTGTGGATCATTCGAGATGTAATGACCCAGAAAGATATCCTACACCTTGTTTAAACTTACCACAGTTATCATATTTAGAAATTCTGTGAATAAATTAAATAATAATATAAAAAGTGCACATTTACGGTTTGTAGAAACGTGAGACCGAAAGTGCTGCAGCCATGCTAAAAAACACTTACCGCTCGCGAATAAGGGGAACAGAAAGAGTGTAAGTGCTCTCTTCATACTGATGTTGAGTGGAGTGAATATAGATGATCCGTAAAGTGTTCTTCAGCGATCCGTTTTTCTGAGCAGCACTCTGAACCAGATTTTATTATATGAGACGACAGACAAAAAAACAAAGGGAGAAAAACACGCTTTACATAAAGACTTTACACTGATGACAATTTACTGGTGATTTAACTTTATGATATCTATTATGCTGAAAGAGACACTATGTTGTTGTTTTTTCATTTTATTTTGAACAATAGCAAAAATCTCAGTCCAATAGACAGGCTACAATGGCTGAATGTTCCGTTTGTTAGTCAGGATAAGTGTTGAATAGTGCCAGGAACGACCACCACACGCTCAGCCTTTGTTTTATACAATAGCCCAACTATGGTTTCCTTCAAAGAGGCAGATCAGCCACTATTTCTTGTGTATTTAAGTTTTCTTTTGTTGGTTTATTTTCCTTTTTTTTATATACTTAATTAGATATTTAGGTTTAATATGATCATATTAAGTATTGTTTGTGTTATTTGTGTGGTCTTGCTCTCATCTTTTTGTGTTACAGTGCGCTCTGTGGTCTTTTACAGGGCCTGCAGGTGTAAGTGTGTAAAGTGCAGATCAGAGCAGGTGTGGGGTGCAAGACTGAGCTTTTCAAAACTGCAATAAAACAGATGTTTTATAGTTGGGATATTACTTTATCAAGATGTTTCTCAGATGTTTGTACACAGCAGATGCTTTCCAGACATCTAACAGACATATTGGAGACGTATGTGTGCTATCTGGGTGTTTTTAGTATGAGGTGCACTTATGTACAGTTTTTTTTTTTCATCAAAAACAGTCATAATTTAGATAAATGGTCATTTTCTACCCTGATTTTAGCCCTCTGATTTGAAACCAGATAGCACACATACATCTGCAAGATGATTGCTTCATCTGGAAAGCATTTGCTGTGTACAAACATCTGAGAAACGTCTTTAAAAAGTCCGTTTTACATCAATTCTAAATTATAAACATCTTCACATCAAAGACATTTTCTAAACATCTGACCTGAAATGTCCTAAAAAAGTATTGCAGATGAGCAAAAAATACGTCTTCCAGATGTAAACACACACATCAAATACACATCTCTGAGATGTACGTGTGCTATCAGGGAACGCTCCATTGGAAGGGGCGTGTCTGCTGTGAGAACTCAATGTAAACGCCCACTGCTATGATTGGCTAACATGTTTGCATATGAAATAAGCATTACATGTGTAACTCTCAAAAACGTTTACTGTTTTTACCAGCCATCAAGATTCAACTAATCATGAAAAGTGCTGATTATAGCATTATACAGGCCTAAAGAACTACTCTCATTGCATCAAAGGTTTACATTTATTTAAATAGGAGACTCGTTGAGCAGTGTAACCTGTGCCATTGATTATAATGGGAGTTTTGGCAAAAATCAAATATGTATGTAACATATAATTTACAAGTCATTAATGGCTGTATTTACCTATAGTTAAAATGACATATGAATTTAATTTGTAGGATTTCTAATTAGGCACTGAATACAGTAAGCATTAAATAGCTTTTCATCTAATGGAATCACTAGGTACACATAACTGTTTATTGGTAAGTTCAAAGTAGTTCTATCAGTGGCCATTTTTATATCTTTCATAGCAAAACACCCATAAATACACAAAAACACTGGCCAGGCATTTTTTTTTTCTTTCGGATAGAAATCATGACAATTTCAGCAGCTACTTTTCACCTTTTCTGGATGTGATGTCATACACCATAATAAAAGCAGCAGCCACACCCACCAAAACAGAGATGACCAATCGAGTCACAGCTTCAGGAACATGACAACAGAAGGTACAATCTAAGGAAATAAAAGAACAACATGAAACAGAAAAGAACATGTCTACTCAATTAATATTTTATGGGAGAATGTCATTTGTTTTAGAAGGTGAAGTGTGCCATTTCTCTACTATTTGTGTCACACAATCAAATTACAAAATTACTTACTTTTTACAAACAAGTTTCCTGTTTCATCATTGGAGGGAAAAATACATAACCTTTATTTTAATCAAAGCATCTAAGCAGATAAAAAAAGTCTAGATAAGCTGACAGTAAAGTGATGATAAAATTGCTAAAAAATAATACTTGGAATGAAATTTCTCATGAAGGAGCAATCAGTGAAAATCTAAAAAGACTATCACGTGTACCTGGACATGGTTGACAGAGTTCAGTTTTGTTGAGATTTGTGATCTGGTTGGTGAATTAATAAGCCACAACACAGCTGTAAGAATCATCCAGACACTCAACCTCCAGAGGTAGAGAGAGACTGATGCTGAGATCAGACGCACTGATGCTGGACAATAAACTGTTTCCTTTGTACCAGGAGAGAGTCACATGACCCACATTTTCCACTGAACACACCAGTGAACATGATGATGATCCTAAAGATGAATTTTGTGTGGAGTTACTGCTGATGACAAGAACAGGCAGAGGAGCTGAAAAACATGTATGAATTTAAAGGGGTCATATGATGCTATTTTAAAGATAACTCTTAACTTTTATAAAGAATATCTCTTTGGATTTGAGACTTTAGTCTTTGCAACTTTACAGATCTTCTTTATGCACCAAGAGCTTGTAACACTCCAAAGAGAAAGGAAAACTTGAAATCGCATCATATGACCCCTTTAATGAAATAAGAATAGAATGTATCTCATAGCAGCAGTTATGAGGCCATGCATGACCTATATTACACAAATTACAATGCAAAGGATCAAATGAATATAGACGCAGATCTTAACACCATGTGAGATTCAAATCCACAACGTAATGATTAAAGGCCCCGATATACTTCAAACAAAGTACTTTTTCGTTCTTCATTTGGGGGCAAAAACAAGTTCGAAAAGGCTGAGCGACGGTATACTGTTTTCGAACATTCCAACATCCCCGCAATGCTGGAGGCGGGATGTAGACTGATTGAGTATGTAAATATGTGTCATGCCGCTCGCGCGTATCCCCTAAACACAACAACCATGGCGGCTGTGAGAGAAGAACACTTTTGGATGTTGTTCTCCTGTCCGACCTCCGTGGAATAAGTAATGAACTGGAAAAAAAATAAAAATCTCCTGTCAAAGAAGATGGAATTCCAGAATACACTTACAGATTGTGTAATCGCCATGGACTCCCACAGAAAGTTTGCTTTGGTGAGCTGTTTCAAACTGCCGAAACAAACTCAAAATGAGCTTTGTTTCGGCCTGATTTTGTTTGAAATGATGTCATGTCAGTTTGTTCTTCGATTTCGTTTGAAGTATATCGGGGCCTTAAGATCCATGATCCATCCACTGCACCACACTTACAACAACTTCTGTACATTGCCAAAGTTAAGTGTCATTTCACAAAAGCATGGGTAATATACTAATATATATATATGTGAAATCTGGCACACAGATAGAGGACAGTCTCAGCATTAACCACACCAAATTTGGAGTATCTAACTCAAACTCTCTAGCACCACTACTTGTCCAAATGTTCACTCATGTACTAACAACCTTTGAATCGAAAGCTAGAAATAATTTTTTCCTCTGATTCCTTGGCTCAAGACGAATGCACCCTATGATGTCATTTTCCATCATATTTTTTCTGTCATTTAGAATTTTTCGAAAAACCTACTCTTTCAAACTCCTCCTAGATCGTTTTTCTGATTTTTCCAAAAATCGGACCATATCATCTTCAGACCATGTAGACTAAAAAACAATCCAGTAACAGTCAAACCATTTCCAAATAACGTGCAAACGAATTTTTCAAAGAGCTTGCCAAAGTAGACATGAGGCTATATCGCCACAACACTTTAGCATATTCAGACTAAACTTCTTGTGTCATGACAACCATGATCTGAGGTTAACTGCACAGTTTCAGCACAGTGCCACCTAATGGTCAGGAAATATGGAAAATGGCTTTTTTTTTTTTTGCTTATAATTTTTGCTTATAACTTCTGAACAGTTTGGCCAAAAGTCACAAGACTAGTCTCTTTACATTCAGAGCAGCATGCCGAGTTGAATGGTACCATGACGGCCATTTTGGGCATCAGCTATTCTGAATTTTGACAAAAAATTCTATATTTTACGAATGCATTGGTGTATCGTTACAAAACTTGGTATGTGTCTTAGACACCATGCCCTGAAGGCACTCAATATTTTTTGGCAGTGCCACGCCAGTGACGCCACATACCAAGTTTTGTAATGACACACCAATGCATTCACAAAATTATAATGAAATAATAATAAAAAAAAGCCCTAATAACAATTATGCCATAATCGGGCAAACTTCCTGTCCGCCATTTTGATTTAAGTTGAAAACCTACTTTTTCAAACTCTTTGTAGACCGCTGGTCAGATTTTCACCAAATTTGGCTCAGATCATCTTCAGACCATGCTAAAAAAATAATAAAAATAAAATAAAAAATAATGAAAAAAACATTTGATAGATGAAACTGTTTAATTTATCTCACCAAATTTGATGGCATGATGCCAAACTGCATCTGAGGCTGTATCTCTGCAAAGCTTTTACATATTGACACCAAACTTTATGGGCCCTATTTTAACGATCTAAGTGTCCGAATCCACTTTTGCTAGTTTAACGACGGGAAAACGGTTGGCGCGCCCGGGCGCATGGTCTCAACGGGTTGTCCCTGTTCTCTTAATGAGTAATGGGTGTTTTTTTGGGCGTAACGTGCAATAAACCAATCAAGAGTCTCATCTCCCATCCCCTTTAAAAGCCAGTTGCACTCGCGCCATGGCGGGTTTGCTATTTACATGGCGGAATGTAATTTTTAATTTTTAAAAATGTTTGTGTGCTGCTAGACCAGCACGCCCATGGGCGCACAAACGGGCGCAAATGCATTTGCTATTTAAACAACGCAGCGCAGGATGGGAAAATGAGAACTGCGTCGGGCTGAAACTAGCAAAAACACTTGCGCCGCACTGCGCCGGGTGTATGATAGGGTCCTATGTGTGTCATTGTCACCACACACTGAACATTCCACATCAATTTGGTAACAGCGCCACCTATTGGTTAAAAGTTATAAACCATTTATAAGAAATTGTTAACCGTTAATAATGACATTTAAAAAAAATGCTAATGGTTTTTGAATCATTTTGTTTATTGTTATGAGACTCGTCTTGATAGATTCCTTGGACCATGCCGAGAACATTGATACAAATTATGCCATTATTGGCTGAACTTCCTGTCCTCGATTTTGATTGAGGTTGAGAACTTACTTTTATGAACTAGACCGTTGGTCCGATTTTCATTAATTCAACTCAGATCATCTTCAGACCATGCCAGCAAAAAGTTATGGATTTCGTGTCTATAGGTGAAACAGTTTTCATTTACTGCATCAACTAATTCATTGCGTCATTGTCCACTGACCACACCACATCAATTTGGTAACACCACCACCTATTGGTCAAAAGTGATACACTGTTAAATAATTTTGTATATATGTTTTTTTCAGCCATTTTGACTAAAATCATCTTAAAATGTCTTTAATTACTCATTGTTGCAGTTGGTCTGATGCTCGCTGCCATGCTTGTTCCTAATTCTGCCTTTGTTGTGCTTGGTCCCTTAATTGCTGCTTGCAGCTATATTTAGTGACTGTTTCTGTGGGCTATATGCAAACTGTCTGCCATATTGGAACAGTCAAAGCCAGTCTGTGAACCGTTGTGTCTGTTGACTGTGCATCTGCAACCGTATACGGATGTATGAATATCTATATCTGCAATAGACTTCAGCGGATGATTTCACTAAACTAACACAATATAAGACAAAGGCATTAGCTAACACAAAACTAAAAAATGTTACCATAGTTTAAAAACCTATATTATTGAGTTAATACATATAAAAACACAAACCAACACCTGTGAAATCTCATCTCTCACCTGTGTTGGATCAGTGTTCTCCCATTTCTTGGGGAATTAAATTTTTTTCGTTTACAACCAGAGGTCTGCACAATGTTGTGGCATCTTGGAAAACTCATTGATTTTTACTGTGAGTGACGACACACTGACTGTTCCAAGATGGTGGACGCATCAACATGTCTGGAGCGGTCGATTGTGGCATCTACCTATTCACAATGGATATACTGCTGTTGCTCATTCATGTATTGAAGAAAAAAAAAATCTACTGTTTCAATACACTGATAAGATACCTTTTTTTTTGTTGTTGAAGCTTGAAGCCCCTTTTTGAGAAGACAACTTATAAAAAGGAGAACTGAAAAAAATTCCATTAAAATCCAAAAAGGCTATCAAACTTTCCAGAAATTTTGGAAAATTTCCAGTTTTTGGAAACTTTCAGAAAATATCAGGAGTTTTGGAAAGTTTATGGAAATTTCCCATCCCTTTGCTACCCCAAGTGGAAGAATTAGAATAACAAAATTACAAAAGGCAAAAATGCATTTTTACTTCCTGAGGAGACCAAAAAAAGATTGTCTATCCCTTCCAGATCCGGTTTAACAGTTTTTTTTTTAAATTCACCACTGAAAGCATTTTAACAAACCGGATCACTCACCCCTCTCTTTTACATTGCAAAAGATCTATACTTGTACAATGACAGTAAAGTTGAATCATCTAATCTAATAAGCTAAATCTGTGGTATATAATAGAGCTGTAACTCTCTACTCACCATAGACAGTAACAGTGAATCTGTATTTAGTCTCTGAGCTGCTGTTACTGATGGTCACTTCATAAAGTCCAGAGTCTGTGGTTCTGGTGTCTGTGATGGTCAGAAATCCAGTCTGATTGTCCAGCTTCAGTCTGTCTCTGAATCTCCCGTCAGGACCATCATTTGTGGATGAGACTCCAGCGTCTCGATTGATTTTAGCTATGAGAGACCGATTAGTTCCAAACTTCCACAGTATCTCATCAGCTTTCTGTATTTCAGCGAGACCAGTGTTTAGAGTGACGGAATCTCCTTCAGTCACTGACTCTGACTTCACTGCATCTGTATCTGTATCTGTACCACCAAACACACCTGCAGAACAAACAGAAACACCTGCTTACTGACACATCATAAAGGTACAATTTAAGTTGGTTTAATGAAGCTTTAAGTTTGAAGCAGTTTTAAAATAATTACAAATTTGGAAAGCTAGAAACATAGAAAAAAATATAGAATCCGCAGCGTGGCAAATAAATGGCCATGTGGGGAAAAAACAGATATCTATATCCACACACCCTTGTTTATTGTACATTTTGGTTTAGTGTTAAGAGTTACAAAAATCAAAATAGAACAGTGGGGAAAAAAATATTTTATATATATGTATATATATATATATATATACTGTATATATTTTATTGATGTTGGAACTGAAGTTCTTTAGAGCTCCGCACAAAAAGAACATGTAAGTATAAATCATTAAACTTGTCTATAACTCACCAACCAGACAGCAACAGCACAAACAGCGAAGAGCAAATGTTTGAAACATTTTTTTCAGCAGTTCAGCGGTCTGGCTTTCACTCAAGTCTGAAAACCTGTGTAAAGAAAAAGCTGGTGACAGTGCGAACTATTCACTAACTTCCCCCAGATAGAATTAGACCACACCCCATGCCTTCAAACATGCACTTGCAGTGTGCACCAAGCACTTGGAAAACTGAAGTATCAGATTGGGTATTCAATTTTCAATATTCAATGAGTGGGATCGGGGACATTCTTACTGTTGCCATAATAATGTTGATCATTACACTAAATTAATATTGTGTGTGTGATGCAAGTTCAAATTTCTGCTTTAATTGTGCTCGGCAGTTTTGACCAAAAATCTGTATCAAGTTTTTTTTTTTTAGGATTTATCATGTTTTTTTCCCCTGACTGTGCCTTTACATGAATCAGAATGCATGAAACAGTTGCAGTACTACTACATTTTAATCACGATCCAAACAAAATACCAAAACTACGGCTGAACGGCTGAAAATAAATATGACTAAGACAATTTTCTAAAACTTTACAATGAGGTGTCAGTGTATGATATGTACATTGGAGGATGGGAGTGGTGGTTTATGAAAATATGCTTAGGCCCCCCGAAATGCTATAGGACTGGCTCTGCCTCTATGTGTCCATTTTCAGCATCTCTGGCTTCTGTCAACGGCCGTTTACAGTTGGTTTATTTGCCCAGTTAAGGAATTAGTTGTGTGTTATTAATAGTTCTAACAGTTCTCCAAGCATTAGTGAGAGCAGTTAACAGTAACGGTGCATTTTATTAATTTTTTTATTATACGTGTGCGTAATTCAAACCGGTATTTTTGCATACTGATGCATCTCCTCCATTGACTATCATTCAAACAGAACAGCTTCTTGTTTTTCTATGTAAACCTGCACTGCACAGACATCTTTGAGCTTGTGTTTGCATCTCGTGTCTTTTGCAGCGTCATTATAGGCCTCCTTTAAAGCTGCTCTGATGCTGCATTTCACAGGCAAAAAAACAAAGCAGCATCAGATCCGCCTGCGACACTAATGGCTGAGAAGCCATATGTGTAGAACAGGTTTTACTGCCATTGCATGTTCACACAGAATTAGGAGCAGGTAGAGAACGGCCTATTAGCTGTGCTGATAATGTTTGCAATACCAATCTCATTCACTCACATTGATGTCTCTCTTTTGTTCAACCAACAGTCTCATTCTCTCCTTCTCATCCTGCAGACTCTGCATCTCTGATAGTGTTGCTCTCTGCTGCTGCTGGATCTCTGCTGATTGTAGCTGCAGTTGGGATCTTCTGCATCTGCAAGAGATGTAGAAAAACTGATCAAGAAGGCAAGTGTTAGCTACTGACGCTACAGTACATTGGTGAAAACAGGGATATACCTAAATAATAAACCTGAAATAATAAAGCATTTTTATGAAGAGGTTCTGTTGTTTTAATGCCTCTATTATTATTGTTCCAACAGTTCCGACTCGTACAGAAGAGATCACTTACGCTGATCCAACGTTCTACAAAAGAAACACACAGAAAGCGGTAAGATCATTTATAACTGTCATCTGTGTCTTGTCCTATTATATTTATTAAAGCGCTAGCAAATTACATGTTTTTGGCCCATAAGTGCCCAAACTTTCTTTTTCATTCTATAGTATTCAGATTTGTACAAGAAACCCTGTGTGATTCTGGGGAACTTGAGGAGAACAAACTTCATGCATGCAGCAAAAATCCACTGAAACCATTAGCATAAAGCATAAATCATTGCCAATGAGCAAAAAGAAAAAAAAAAGGAAAAAGGAAGCTATAGTTCTGCGAAAAGATCCTGCAGCATAAGATGGTTAGCCAGTCGCTTGCTCTCTCCACATAAAAAACTTGCACATATATGCATTAAATATAGATTTATATGCACGAATGGTAGAAAGCTTATTTTTAAAAACTAAAATATATCTTCACGAGTCTGTGTGGAGAAAGTATTAAGCAAAAAAAGTCGTGAGATAAAGTTTATAAAATGAAAAAAAAAAAAATGTGCAAATGCAAGATATTACAATGGCAAGAACTAAAGTCACAACAGTTTTATTCATTTATATATTTATTTTTTACTCTGAGGTGGAAAGGAGCTTACATAGTTAGGAAATAAATAAGATTATATTTGAAGACAAAGCAGTAAAAAAAACTGAGAAAAATACATATACCCCCAGTTTCACAGACAAGGCTTAAGTTAGTCCCAGACTAAAATGCATGTTTGAGCTGCCTCAACTGAAAATATCTTGCTCTGACATATCTTAAAATATGTCAGTGTCATTGTTCTGTGTCAAGATGCACACCTGTAATGTTTTCTTCTAAGGCATTTTTTTATAAAAGTTGCTTAAATATCTTAATTTAACTAAGGCCTAGTCCTGTCTTAAGCTAAGTGAGAGGTTTGTGAAACCGGGCTGTAGTGTTCAAGATCTCTAATATTTTGCTCTCAGATAAGTGTAAAAACACTTCTAACAGTTGAATGTTAAAGTTCAGTGTGTTTTGGCGAAACCTGCATTGTTTAATAGTCTAAAAGAAAACTGAAGCCTTCAGGTAACCAGTGTGAGAAAAAAACTGCTCAAGCTGATTTGAGCAAGTAAGAGTTGAGTTGAGAAAGAAAATGTGTAAAATAAAAAAGAAACAGAGCAGTCCATGAAAGAAGTAGTTTGTTAAATATTGAGTCAAATCACCTTTATACCTCGTGCAAACCATTAAAAAACAGAACTGAAATTAAACACATGCTTCTGTCTAACAGAGCTGTCACTGCTGTCTTGTATAAGGAAACAGACACAAAGATTGCTTCAGTTTTTGCAGGATAGCATTACTAAAACAATCCAAATAATCAGAATGGGTAACACTGACGTGAAGAACCCCCGAAATGTTTAGCATTCATCATAATTTTGTTTTTGAACTTAGGATGCTGAAGATTATCATGTTAGACATGACATCAGGCATCTCAAACTGAATCTTTATAGTCCAGCAGGGCATTAACCGTGGTAAACTCTTTCATTATCTCCTGGGCATTTGTCTCTTTGTCTATCTGTCTTTGTGTTCTCTTTCAGGAAGTCAAACAGGAGGATGAGACGGTGTATGCACGTGTCATACGAAACGTTGATCAAACTGCTCATTAATGATGTTGTGATTGCAGTCAGTGTACATGCATGCTTGAAAGACGGCTATAACGACGAAGCTGTTAAACATGCAAAAGTGCTGCGTTTACATGATGTTCCAGAGCACTGCTTTCTGCAAAAACCCAGTACGTTTTTTTGAGATGCATGCAAATAGGGTAACTGACTGTAACTCTGAAAATCTATATTACTTTTCTTTTTTTGTGTGGTGCAATTTAGGTTTTTTGTTCTAAGTGATTTTTGATCGATTTGATTGTGATCCTTAACATCCGTTTCAGTTATACTAGAGATCAAACATAAGCATTCGATTTAAAAAAAAAAAAAGCTGATCTTGCGTGAGTTCTCAATAGTAATAGACATATCATACATGAACTCATATTGTACAGCAAATCAAAGCTGATTTTAAAATCCACTTAATTTGTTCCAGCAGCTTATTCTCGCAATTCTCTCTCAAAAGTCATTATTTAGCTGATGGCCATTCTGAGGGACAAATTTAAACAGAAAACGAATCTATAAATAAAATCTACAGAATGACAGTGGCCGTTTAAAGGGGTCATATGATGCTGCTAAAAAGAACATTATTTTCGTGAGTCAGAACTGCCGGCATTGTAGTCTACTCTTCCAGGATCAGGAAACGGTCCTCCATAAAATGTGCTGCACACATCTGAATATTTGGGTTGAAGTGTTCTGGAACAGTGTTGTAAATATAACTTAACCATGATTTCTAGTCCTGTCCTCTTTTGGAAGGCCAAACAAAGTAGTTTCGCTTTCACAACGAAACAGCATCACACACCGCGGCCTTGAGTGAGCCGCGGCGTAGAGTGAGCGGAGGCCGGCTTGAGTGTGCAGAGGTGCGGCCGGCGGATTCGACGAAGGAGCGTCCGGCGGGCTTGCGGCAACCACATGTGACGACCCCGGGCTGGACTCCACTTCGTCCACGGTGAAAGCCGATCCGGCGATCCACAGCGCGAAGTTGATGTATTTCCTCAGCGACCAGCACAGATCAGCTCTAGGCATGACGAAGCAGATATCGTCCTCTTTTGGAAGACCAAACAAAGTAGTTTCGCTTTCACAACGAAACACACAGGGTCTTCACGACATGGCGGCGGCAAAAATACTACAGCGAGAATAAAAGTTACGCCTTCTTTCTTTGCGTGAACATTTGGGCGGTGTTATGCAAATCTTCCCACATAGTGATGTAGATATGTGGGGGTGTGTTAGAACGAGGTGTTTTAGGTAGGCGTGGCTGACTCTTAACTTTTATAAAGAATATCTCTTTGGATTTGAGACTTTAGTCTTTGCAACTTTACAGATCTTCTTTATGCACCAAGAAATCGCATCATATGACCCCTTTAATTTTAGTACATATTCACAGTAAACAGATGCTATTGGTATCTTTTTACAGTATTTTGAATAGAATCATACAGCAGAAGGCCTCATTTAATATCTGAAAAGAAATGTGCTTTTCTTTGTTTTGGCAGACAGCATGTGCATGAAGATGTGTCTATACTGGACGTCTGTGGTTAGTGTAAGCTAGTGTCTGCATGTTTTGAGGTGCGAACAGTTTGTGTTTCGGTGAATAGCATGGACGTCCACAATTTGCATTCCTCTTTATGCGAAACTGTTTTACTGCAAAATAAAGTACATCATTTATGAATGCTGATGCTTGACAAAAAGAGTTGTGAAATAACGCAAAATATCATATAGTATGTGTATGTGAAAAATAAGATATGCATCTGTCTATCGCGGATTGCTATCAGTGGTTGATTTGCATACTAATGCAGTGATTCTGCAGATAAGAGTGTTAGTTTCAGCAGAAGTTACTTCCGGCTCCAGCAACACTTAGAAGTCGTTTCTGAGAAGTTTCCACTATTCTTGATATCACACATATCTGTTTTGTGAAGAACGTGTCATGTTCGTCTGTCAACATCGAGGACAAACAAGGTGAATCATTTTAAGAATAAATGCATTGCAATGAAAAGTTGAAGTTGAAATTGATCATTTTATTTTCATCAATTTTTGGTATAAAAAATGCTATAAATGCTAAAAAATTATTTTCATTATATATATAGATAGATAGATAGACAGATAGATAGATAGATAGATAGATAGATATAAATATTAGAAAGGTCTACAGAAGAAGAAAAAAGTGTTTTTCCTAATGCTGTCATGAAGTGGAAACCTAATTATCCCTTTATTTTGTTCATAAACTGTGGCAGATATAATTCTTAATAAAGTCAAAGAAATTCATTTTAAAATAATTCATCGACATTATCCATGTAATGACTTTATTAGTAAATTTAAAAAAGGGTATTAACCAATATGTTTTTTTTTTTTAAATTTGTTATTTTTTCTTGTAAAGAGGAGTGAGAGGCAATTTTGCACATATTTTTCAGTTTTACTAAATAATTTTGGACCCAAGTTTCATTGTTTATTTATAGTTTGTTACGATAACTGATACAATGGTCTTGTTTATGGACTGTGATACTTGTTTACTGGAGATAGATATTATAATCAAAATTATTATTTAATTTGCTAAATACCATATGCACAAAGCAAAATACATGTCAGCTGTACCAAATGGTAGACTGTTTTCCACTGATTTAAAGCTCTTATATGATTCTTTAATCTCAATACAGAACAATCGTAAAGCTGTTAAGACATCTTTGCTGCTGAAAAAGAATGTACTGGATGTTCAGATGAAAAGGCTTGGCTTTCATTGTTTGATTGGTTTCTGTTGGTTTATAACTTTGTATTCCCCTGTTATTAGCAAAAATATATAGTAATATATAGTATAATAGTACTATATAATAATAGTAAAAAAAATGCTAGAAAAAAATAATTTAAAAATACCATGTTCTTAAACTGTTAGACTGGCGCTCTCTACTGTTCACACATTAGAATTGTCCTCTACAAGAATCGCTCTACTTCTAGCTATAAATAGAGCGTACAGTAGAGCAGCAAATCAATGACACACAATGGATCTTCCACATTGGAAACTTTATGAAAATTAATAAAATGCTGATTATTCACAGACACTCTTGTGTACTGTTGGTGTTTTTAAAGAACTCGGGTCTAAGGATGGTTTTATCTGCAGTGCAGATTCGTTCATAAATAAGTTTATAGATAAATAAGTTAACTTAATAAAGACTATCTTAGTTAAGGATACATTTGTAGGTTTGATTTCAAATGACTGTAGGTAAAGATTCATTTCATCTAGTGCTGCTCCAAACGATTCAGTGCGTCAGAGCAGAATGATTCATTCAGACTGAATCGCGAGTCACTTTCAACCGCTCTGCTTATCTGTTTGGCCAATTCATTGAAAAGAGCCGACTCAAAAGAGTGATTCATTCACTAATCGCTGGTTCTGATTCTAAACAGCCGACAGAAAATACCGGAAGTGCCGCTGCAAGATGCCGATTCCGCATTTTTTCCGCCAGCCCCTGATAACCGAGAGAATTTATTTCGCATAAATCAGCTAAAGCTAACAAATCACACACAATCCCTCTCCAAACACGTTCAGATTCCCCTGACATTTTGCGTCGATCGAACTCCCGCTGTAATGACGTATAGCTGTTCTCACTGTCCAATGGCGTTTTTGTTTATGTATATAAAATTTTGCCAGCAATATGAATAAATTACCAATGTATTCATTTTGCGTCGCTTCCGTCTTCATATTCCCGCTGTAATGACGTATAGCTTTTCTCACTGTCCAATGACAGTGCGTGTTACATTTACAAGCGAGAGAGGGGTTGGCTCTATAAAATCGAGGCGAAAGTTGATTGGTTGCTCCCACGTGTGTACTGTCCAATGGCATTTTTTAACTCGATTGACAAATGGATAAAGAAAAGCAATGGGCAAATAGAGAGAGAAAAGCGATTTAAAATGTGCATTTAAAAAGATTTATTCATGTACTTTTTTATTGTTTTATTAATCCACGTTTTAAAACATGAATTAAATAAACAGTTTTAAATGTGTCTATTTATACATTGCATTTTTTTTTAAATAATTGTTTTATTAAACTACATTTAAAAACACGAATTAAGTAAACATCTTTAAATATGTCTATTAATTTGTCCATTTAAAAAGTGATTTATTTCTATACATTTTTATGTTTGAATTATTAAATCAATAAATTGATTCTTCATTTTATTTTTAAGTGGCACTCTCTGTCCTCCACCCGGGGCTAATAAAAGAGTGGAAATTTTAGGTCCTGTGTACCTTCACTCTGTCCTCCTATTGTCTGGGCCTGCTATTAGTGTGTGTGTGTGTGTGTGTGTGTGTGTTTATGTGTGTGTGTGTGTGAGAGAGAGAATGTAAGAGTGTGAGTTTTGTGTTTCTGCCCCTGCCATTCCCGCACAAGGTTGTAGCACTTTAATTCATAAATGTGATCTAACAAAGGTAAAGGGCAAATTTTGACCATACATGCTGTTTATATTGCTTGTAATTGGGATGAAGTAATCATCTGAGTATTTTTATATGTAATTTTTAATTTTGTTGAATTAAAGACCCAAAACTGTAGTAACAAAAAATATGACCACACAAGGGTTAACTGCTCAGGACAAACAAGGGACTCATGAACATCCAGCACAAAACACAAACAGTCATTGATCTTCAAGGTAACAACACAGTATCAAGAGAATGTCAAATTTTAAACTGGTTAATTTGTGTAAAAAGCTATTATTTTGTCTTGTGGACAATATGTAATCATCTGTTATGTAAAGTAGCTTATTCAAGTGAGTGCTACAAGGTTGTAGCACTTTAATTCATAAATGTGATCTAACAAAGGTAAAGGGCAAATTTTGACCATACATGCTGTTTATATTGCTTGTAATTGGGATGAAGTAATCATCTGAGTATTTTTATATGTAATTTTTTAATTTTGTTGAATTAAAGACCCAAAACTGTAGTAACAAAAAATATGAACACCACACAAGGGTTAACTGCTCAGGACAAACAAGGGACTCATGAACATCCAGCACAAAACACAAACAGTCATTGATCTTCAAGGTAACAACACAGTATCAAGAGAATGTCAAATTTTAAACTGGTTAATTTGTGTAAAAAGCTATTATTTTGTCTTGTGGACAATATGTAATCATCTGTTATGTAAAGTAGCTTATTCAAGTGAGTGCTATAAAAAAAAAGCATGCAATATGCGTATTTAAAAACAAAAAGGTTCTGCAAGGTGTATGCAAACTTAAACACGCTATACAGTATACTCCGCTATACATAAAGGCTATTTTGAAAACAACAAAGTGTGCACTATGCTGATAAAATATTTTAGAGATGAGCTTAACTGATCAGCAAAGCTGAGCAAAACTATTAGATAATAACATCATAATATAAAATTAAACATTTTAATTCCATCATTTTTCATGTCCCTGAATTTAACATTTTAAAACTGCGGATTTTTCATGAATATTTCTGTGTATGAATTATCAGTGGTTTAAGTGCTTTGACTACAGACTTTAGCGCAGCTGTAAGAGAAGAGAATCTGGGAAGCCGCTGGACATTCATTTGTTTTGCATCAGGCTCAAAACGGTAAATACAAATAATTCAAGCTGAAGCGAGAAATAAAATAAACCAGACACAATCAGAAATCAATTCAATAAGCTCATACAACTATAATAAATCATCACCAGTAACAGATTGATTACATTTACATTAACAATCAGAGAAACAGATGAGCAGATTCACCTCAGATACTAAAAAATATAGACAGATACAATGTCAGTGCAATTAAGTGCAATCAATTTGTATAGCATAAAAATAAGGCGCAGTTCCTAATATAAGCAAATAGAAAGGAAAAATAATATAAAAGTTAACAAACGTGCCTTGCAGTAAAAGCGTCACAACAAACTTTTCACAGAGATTAACAATCAACTGGACAGTTCTTGAATTAAACACAAACTCGCATGTTTCCAGACATTTCTAGTAGTGAAGAAAGTGTCCCATGACACTTAAGATTAAACATGCTTATGTTATATGAAAAACACACATCAAAGAGAAATACTGTCTCTCATAAAATACATGGCTAATGATGAACTAATAAAATAGAAAGCAGTTTATCCAGTAGGCATTATATGGAATGATTAATCTTTATGAAAAGTGAAATGTCAATTCAATTGACCTGCACACATATGATTTTAAATGAGGAGAAATATGACATTTATTGCTAACAGTTGTTACTATGCTGTTAGACAGACAGGTGCCTCTCTTAGCTTACATTATCAATGCATTAAAGGCATAGTTCACCCAGAAATGACAATTCTGGCATCCTTATTCACCATCGAGTCGTTCCAAACCTGTATGATTTTTTTTCTTGTGCTGAACACAAAGGAAGATATTTTGGGTAACCAAACAGTTGCTGGTCCCCATTGACTCCCATAGTATTGAAAAGAAATACAATGGGGACCAGCAACTGCTTAGTTGCCCACAATATCTTCCTTTATGTTCAATAGAAGCAGGTTTGGAACTCGCGCGCGAGTAAAGGATGACTGTGAATCATTTTTGGCTGAACTATTCCTCTTAAAGGGAATTACTCACCCTCGTGTTGTTCGAAACCCATAAGACCTTCGTTCATCTTCAGAACACAACTTAAGATATTTTCGATGAAATATGAGGGCTCTCTGACTCTCCCATAGACAGCAAGGTAACGACCACGTTCAAGGTCCAGAAAAGTACCAAGATGATCGACAAAGTAGTAGCTACGAGAATACTTTTTTTGCGCAAAGAAAACAAAAATAATGACTTTATTCCACATTTTCAAGCGTGTGGCGGTGCCGGCGCTGACCCAGATCCGGTGTGATAGTCTTACGGGTTTGGAACAACACGAGGGTGAGTAATTAATGACAGAATTTTCAGTTTTGGGTGAACTAACCCTTTAACGCTGAAGAAATTGAAGGAGTTCAACTGAGAAAATTATAGACACAAATATAAAAAAAAT